CCCCAAAACCCCAAAACCCCAAAACCCCAAAACCCCTTTCCATCCTAAAATGATTGAAAATGAAACATTCTAATATGTTTATTCAGGCTCTTTTTATCTTGCAAGCCTCTGGTCAGGCAAAAACCAATTCTGGAAACATACCATCCTCTATGAAGAACTGAAGGTACCAGATTTTATTTAACGAATTACTTATAAAGAGGCATCAATTAATGATTTTCTAATTTTAGCCGCAAACTGGGTCTGAACATCCTTTATATCCAAGTTTAAGATGTCAGAATTTTTGGATAACGTAGTGATGTTTTTAGCCCTTCTGGCCCTTTTATTCTGCTTAGTGGTAAAGCATCTTTCTTCTATTCCTCTGATTCTGTGACCTTGGTCTGGGCTCCGGATTTTACGTTTGTGCTTTATAACGGTAGAAGGACTAAGGAGCTTCTTGGGTACACCATCTGCAGTATACTGAGTCACCTTAGGTGAGTAGAGCCCTAGCGGTGATTTCAGAGATTTTGTATCTATCTTTAAGCTATTTATTGCTTTAAACTTATCCTTCTTAGCCATCATTGATTTAAAAACGTCTGTTAGCACTACTTTCTTGATAGCTATAGACTTCTTTCTCAGATTAAATCGGTTTACGACTGGAGACTTGGAGCTTTTTGAGACGACAAAGAAGACAGATGGGTAGATAGGCTTCTTTTTGTTCTCATCAACTGACTTAAAATGCCTCTCCTTGAGTGTTTCTTGCTTCTTACTCCTCTTTTTCTTCTTAATATTAGTTTCAACGATGCTTTGCATGGGCAAATTCGAATATTTTGTTTCTTTTCGATCGTCCTGAACTTTAATAGACTGTGAAAATCTTGGAACTATACATACGGTTAGGACAAAGCTATTAGGGTAGTAATTTTTACCTTCACTATTAAAGCTCTTAGTATGCATTAATCCTACTCCAACTGGATGGGATATACTCGAGGAGTGAGAATTCGTTTCAGCTATAATATAAAATCAGTACATCTTACTTTTAAACTGGCTAAAATTAGGCAAAAATGGGTTGCTTTCTCCTTCCTTTAGCAATTTCTCTTTATAAGCTTTATCATGAAGGACCTTTTTGAACTCTTTCAGCTGATTTTCTAGAGATAAAAGACTAGGATTACTCTCCTTATCGACTGCTTTGGGGTTCCTATAGAACACAGCTTGAAGATCTTCAGGCTTAATACTAGATCGAAGACGCTTATTCTTTCGCATTGACTTTTTATTATGGACATTAAGCTTGCAGAGTTCTTTATAATACCCTCGATCATTCATTAGGACAAGATAAGCATTGGCTTCCAGGCTTAAATGTTTCATTTTAATTGGAGCAATGAATTTGTCATAAATATAGCCCTTGAAATCCTGCTGAAGATTAAGAACATGCTTTCGGGAAGGACCTAGCTTAGCCAGGCGATGCTTTATGCGCTTTTTGCAATTTCTAATTAACTGTAGATAGTTCAGACTGTTAATGAACTCATTATCTCCTAATGTTGAGTTGGAAATCTTGGCTTGAACAGGTGAGAAGGGGGAATCATTGAAGTTCATATAGCCATCTTTCCCGCTCCTTATCATACTTTTTCGAGTCAGTTCCAGTCGTAACTTGTTTAGGAAGTCTATAACTTGCGTAAATATTTTAATGTCCCATTAACTGTTTCGACAGAGCTCAAGAAGATATGCAAAAATAGCAACGACTTCTGAGGTTATTGGTACTAATCTTCTCTCAAATATTTTAGCCAGTTCCTTTATGCAAAGAAAGTTGATATGCAAAATGTCTCACTCAAGGCTGGAAGGTTATATAGATTTTTAGAAGAATTTTTAAGCATTCTGAACGAACCCAATCTTTCTGTCATTCCTTTTAGAGCTTAAAATAATTCTTTTCATAGAGTAACAGCGACTCACTTTAAAAATAGAGTGATGGAGTGTTAAATTTTCCATATTATTTTGAAACCCATTAGATGTTTCAAAGCCATAAAAATGCAGATTTATGTAAAAACTTTGCTGCATTTTAACACTTGATTTTAGTGATTACGATATATATCTACTTACATTTGTTATCAACTTTGCTCTCTTTGTCAACTAATGACTCCTCTAGAAGACTAGGTTAGTAAACGCATGATAAATCTGCAGCTTGAAATGAAAATTTCGTTTATGAAGTTAAACAACACTTCAGAAAATCAGCTTCTAAACGTAAAGACTTACTTATGCTACTCCAAGTATTATTCTTAGATGAGCTGGAGCCTGAATTTGGGCCAAACGCTCTCCTATTGATTAATTTTGCCATTTTCTAATAATGTTTCAATCAAATTTGGTTTAACTGGGGTTTTGGGGTTTTGGGGTTTTGGGGTTTTGGGG